CTTCCTTCTCCAATCCTCCAATCACCAAAAGGCCGGCAACGCACTACAAATTCCTCTGGTCTTGCAGGTGTCCATGGGCGACGACAATTGCTTATCGTCAGGTGATCACTCTTTTGCTGCCCTTTCGCATAAAAAGGTATCTAGACTATGATAGAATGGCAAAAAGCTTAAGAACCGCCTTATGATAAGCCGATACCACATCCGAGATACACTTGCAACACCAGAGGTGTTACAGATACATTTCGGACCAGGTAAGAACCTGTGTAGTTGGACCATCATCGTTTCCAAAACTTCATTAACGTATTTTAATTTTGAAACATGTTTGTATTTTTTTTATAAAGTCGTGTAACATTATAAAGCAAAAATATTAGCGATAACCACACTCGTCCCATGAAATCGACAGTTGAATTTGAAACAATATTGTTTAATATTAGTAGACATATATTTTTATGGCATAAGCCGGTAAACGAGCTGACGGATTACCTGATGGTAAGCAATCGGCGTCGCCCATGGACACCTGGAACACCAGAGGCGTTACAAGTGCGTTGCCGGCCTTAAGGATTAGAAATTTGAGGATTGTTGGGGATTCAGGGTTTGGGGAGATTAGGGGATCGGGGGAATGGGGCCTCCGGTAACCTCACTTATATATATGAATATGTAAAATCAAGTTTTAGATGACTGTATAACAATATTTTAACGTAAGTAACGATTCGTGAACTTAACAGTTGGTGCTAATAGGCAGGAATTTATAGTACTTAATATTATTTGCGCTTTCTCAGTGTCGTAAGGCGGCGTTATATGACTGGAACCTTGTTTGGAATGTTAAATATTGTAGGAAATAATAATTTAATATTGTCTACGTAATAGTGACATTTATAGAATTAAGTACAGTAGCTTTAACCCGCCAATACTTATGTGAATAAGCCTATAAGTTCCTCTATAAAAATTGGTTCAGTAATCAAGTGTAAGATGACGAATTTATGTTAGTATCGTTTTTGGGTTTATGAGTATATAAATCACCAACCCGCATTGAGCCAGCGTGGTGATTAATGCACAAACCTTCTCCGTGTGAGAAAAAGGCTTTGTTCAGCAATGGGCATTTATAGGCTGTTGATGATGATGATGATGATGATCGTTTTTGGATTTAATAATCCTTTAATGCTATTAGATCTTTATGATGTGAGAAATTGATGGATTTGACATAGCTTTTTGTATTTTTTCATTTTTGATGAAGTAGACAAATTAAACAATTACCAAAGACTCAAAAATTTGGCCAATTTATGAACTTGATGAAATTCGATCAAAATGAAAATGTAGAATTGTAGGTATGTAGGTACTGCCCATCCCAGAAGTGAGAGATATGATATGAATCATCGAATCAAGACCCAAATATCGATGTGTCGGTAAATTTTAATTGCAGCAACCGCGCATTTCCGTAATATCAGTAGTTTCTAAAATCAAATCAAAACTATAAAATAATTTGTTTGGCTCACGAGACTGTCCGACTCAATTGGTACAAAGTGGAACGGTACTAATCGAGAAATTGATCTGTTGTGACGTCACAGACCTGCGCCGGCGCAAGTTCGATGTTTTTGCTCCAACACTTTCCTCGCAAACATTCCATGTTTCGTAATAAATGTAACAATGACAATGAATTTGGTAATTCTAATACAACAATAGCAATCATACTAATAATGTTTTTGATGACTTTTTGTCAGTTTGTCCGTCCGGAGTCTTCTTTTGTGTGTGAAATTGTCCAACAGGTAACTCACGTTTTGGCTTCAATTGTATTGATTATAGATTTGTGGCTAGGTCTATACTTTATAGTGATTACGTTACTTTTACTAGTGGTGTCTGTGATGTAACTGTTGAGGCAGATCATGATTTTATTTATTCGATTATAGATTGATTACAGCTGGCTTTGATGATTAAAGAAAAAGAACCTAAAGGTCTTCAACCTATGTACTGTTTCAGACACAATAACTTTTTTAAAGGGATAGGGGGGCGGCAGAGTAGCTGGTGAATCACCTGACAGTAAGCAATCGGTGCCGCAGTCAACGGACACTAAAACTAAAGCAGCTATTTAATTTATAATGTTAGTTAGATTCATGGAATGTTTAGCCAGAATAGCACAACTGAATAAAACGACTGCACAGTTGGCGCGGTGGCTACCGCGCAACGTGTCGCGGGTTCGTTTCCCGCACGGAACAACTCTTTGTGTGATCCACAGATTGTTGTTTCGGGTTTGAGTATCATGTGTACCTATGTGAACTTATATGTTTGTAAACGCACCCACGATACAGGAGAAAATCCTAGTGTGGGGCAACGTTTTTTAAACTGTCAAACACCAAGCGGTCACCGGTGACCGCGACCTATTGTTCTTTAATTGTGTCTATAAAACCGGTACTCGACGAGTTAAAAAAGACAAAAGTAGGTAAGCAGTGTAAATGAGCTTCTGACGAAGTTCACTTACTGAAAACCAATTTTATGAAATGATTGCACGACATCAACGTCCAATAAAGCTTTCCTTTTCTTTGTTCTATCGCTTTGTTCTTACAAATCCAATACATTGTACCAAACTTATAAAATGTAATATCGTTTTGAACGTTGTCAACTCAAAAATATGACAAAATAGTTGCGTTATTACACTTTCATCTCACAGTCTTGATGGTTTTGAATTTGATTCGCAGGTTCTTCAAATCTTACCAGCTTTCGGTTTTAAAATTACAATTTTGAGCTTTAAAGTAGCTTTTATTAAGTCGTGTATCGTAGAGCGAATTAGACTATACATCTATATGACCTTAGACAGGAATGATGACGACGTAGAAATGGTGAACTGGTATTCAGCTTAGCGTAGAGAATTATAAGGGATTCAGGGATGGTGAAGATTGGGGTAGAAGGGGGGGGGGGGGTAAAACTGGACATCCAGTAACCTCACTCACACGACGAAATACAACGCAAGCGTTGTTTCACGTCGGTTTCGTGTGTGTATTTTTTGTCACGTCGGATTGAACTGAAACTACTTACGTTAGTATTACAAGAATATTTGTTACATCATGTTTATAATAACAGTACCTAATCGATAAATTAATTAATTAACCTACAATTTACATCTACAACTATTATTCTCACAACTGACAAGCGGTTTACAAGAGCTGGACATTGTATATTATTATAAAACAAAATGTCTGCCGCAACAAAGGGAAACCCCGTCGTTTGTTGGAAACCATCCAATATAAATATTGTGATGGAAAAGTGAAATCTGTCGCGTTAGTTTAGTAGTTATTATTGTTATTGCTGGACATCAGGACCTGAATTCGACCTTGGTTGTTAACAAGTTGGTGTGGAGCTTTTTTCGCCTTCAATTAGGTACTTGCCTTAATCAAAAATATATTATTTCGATTGTTTAATACAATAAAATATTAAAAAATAATCACATTTTCATTAATTGATTTTATGACTAACTTAAATTTAGTATTTTTCCAGATTTTTTTTAAGAAATAAGTATGCTGTTTGATGTAAAAAAACACAACGTCACAATACACAATCTCATACAAAATTCATAGAAAACTGTCGTTTTTGACAGTTCGAAAAAAGGTTTGAATTTGACTAGTTGACAGGGACCTAATTCTTTGAAGGGTCAAAGGCTCATCACATATTATTTATATTATATATCATCCATTTTCATCACCGCCTAGTCGAGGCGGGAGGGAGTGTCAGACTCTTACTGACTAAAAACCACCCCGTTCCTTCTCCTGCACGTCGAGCCGGAGCCCCGGTAACCCGTTAGGTTCTCCGCGACTTATTATTTTTATATGTACACAAGCAATTATTTTTAAGCACAATATTAAATTACGTGCTGTTATTGATTGAAAATGTGAAAAACCCTCTGTACCTAATACTTTACTCGGGCCGAAAATCAATCTCCCGACGTCTTAACTAAAAATCACGAGTTACTCACGGAAATATACTGAGAAAAGCTCTACTAGTTTCAAGTCGCGTCCTCTTGTTTAACAGTCGCATTTGTTACTAGACCAACGAAACAATTGTCTAATCGCTCTAATTAGTTCTTATCATCTACATAATTAACTTTAACTTCCAATTAGCAGTCTAACTTAGTACCTAGATCTTCTAGGTAGCCCTTCTATAACCTACGCTGTCCTAGACAGGTTTACTGCTAGAATGCGGTTAGATTAATAATAGCTACCGGCAGAGAAAATGAGAGTGAATGTGTAAACTGATGGATATTACAATATTATTACTAAAGTACTATGTGTTTGTTTGTTTGTTTGTATCGTGGTTGGAGAGGGCAAAGGGAGGGTAAAGGGCGTATTTGTAATTTAAGATTCTGTAGTCTAACTAACATAATTTGTAAGGAAAATACGTCAAAATTTCCATTTATTGGATTCGTACAAAATCAAAGCGATGTGACGAAACAGATTCTTCTAATGATTTATGATATAAAAATACTCCAGATGATTTAAACAATAAAATAAATAATAATGCTACTAATCGAGAAACGGAAGGCAAGGTTTTCCTCTTTCAATTTCTGAACAAAAATTAGTTTATACCCAAAATTTTATTATACAACAAGCCTGTATCGGGAATCAAAATTATTCTTTGTAGAAAAAAAAACATTATCCAGATATTGATTGATTGATTGACGATATTAATAAAATCTAAAACAGAAGGTATTTAATTGTTAAACTCTGATCTTCAATCAAGATTTCGATCATAAAATATCTAAGTGCTGCCAAAAAGGAAGCTGCAAGTTGTCACAAAAATCTGTAACATCTCAGTTCCTTTCACAAGGAACCGCTGAGTCACGGCAATTAATTGAATCCATTAGCGAGTGTTCCAACTCGATGACATTTTTTATCTAAACCAATGAAATGCTTCATTTAACTTTTTCTAAAGAGCTTTTACAAGCTTTTGTTATTTTGGAATTGTGTAAGAGTGAGAGCCTGAAAATTAGTTAAAAATTGATAGTTTTTGCTTACCTCTCGGGCTGTAGCCATCACAACTGTCCATAAAGATCGCCGTTAAAAATATAATTAAAACACAACAGTTAACACGCGTCATAGTCATTAGTTTACACGACAACAATCAATTCATTCTTCTACCACGCACAATTTGCGCTGATGTTACGCGTAAATTACACCGCGATACGTATCGATATTTAACGATTCATAAACATCACTATTAATCATTGTAACAGCCAATAAAAACGCTGTAAAAGTCTGAAGTAAAATAAAAATTTGAAAAAAGAATTATTTAATTTTTTGACACGTGCGTTCGTGACGGTGTCGAAATTAGAAATGGTTGGAAAAAAGTGCGCGGTGCGCTTGCGTCTGTATTAATGACTAACGATAGTGTTTTTACTTTTTTCCGCAGTGTTGTGCGCCGGCGCCTAATACCCCCACCGGGGAAATGAAGGGGGGGAGTTGACAACATTTTTCTGTTATGCTAATTATGTAGGAAGGAAATGTAACGCGACACCTGTTGATTTATTAGCTGTTGTATATACTTTGTCAATAGTATGTAAATTTCACATTTGCGTGAAGAAAATTAGGTTTTCCGTCATGAAAAGCGGTAAAAGTAATTTCTAAATAGAAACAATAAATCTCTATTACTTCATTTATTAAAATAAGTTATGGAAACAAGTCAAACAGGATTGAGTGTGTTATACCTTAGATATAGTTTTCAAAGAAAACGTTGTTCCGTAAATTCATTTTATTTATAATTGCATCTCAGAACTCTATACTGCACGAAAACGGGCAAATGATGTCAATAACAAATTTTAAAAGTTTAAAGTCCATCAACAAAGTAATAGTTGGTACAGGTAAATCAATTTATTATAATTATAATAATTTATATAATACGTAATTTATTCAAAGTAGATTAAAACAAATGTTGTCGACCAATGACTATAGAGAGTGAAATGATTTGCGCGTGCGCAGCGAACGGTTGCAGTCGCGTAGATACAGTTGCACTGTTATGTTGACAAGAATGTCATTGATAAGTTGACTTGTGAATATTAAGATATAAGACCTTTATAGGAGTACGGAAGTAAAGGGAGTGATGATTTAAAAGGCTGCCAGTGGTTCATCACTATCAACAACGGCCTTTGACCTTTTTTTTGAGGGGGAAAATCATCGAATGACTGGGTGAGGCGGGAGGGAGAGTCAGACTCTTACTGATGAAAAACCACCCCGTTCCTTCTCTTGCACATCGAGCCGGAGCTCCGATAACCCGTTAGGTTCTCCGCGACTCCGAAACGGCATCAGCCCTATTGGGCCCCACCCGTGGTGGTCTGATGGCTCTTCGAGGAAGAGAGTCCTATGTAATAGTGGGTGATACTATTGCCATATACCGGGCACAATTCCAGACACCGTACTACTACTGTCTGAGGTTTTAATTATTATGATTTCGGCTCACTTACGTAATTGTTTGACGAGCAACTCGACTAGTTCCAAGCCATACTAGAGGCTCATATTCATAAGCAGCATTCGGCCGACGCGGCGATTGTCGCGTTCCCTTTTCTTTATACTATGCTGCTACTACTCGCCTCTAGCATGGCTTGAAACTAGTCTTAGGAAAGTTATAACATAAATATACTGAGATTTTAAAAAAAACCAGTATTACTTTGTCCGACCCGGGAATCGAACCCAAGACCCCTTGCCGTCGCACTTGCGACCACTCGGCCAACGAGGTAGTCTACAAACAGTTTTAGTGATATATCAGAATTACCTATTAATGTCAATGGCATATTAATTAAGACATATCTTATGTTAGGTATTAATCACGCAATTATCAGTAAATCAGTAGAATGACAACTTCATTCACAATGGGGAAGTGTTGAAAGGGGTTTAAATTACTGTATTTCCCAAACACTTGTTTAGGTGGTCGAGTGGTTATAAGTACGACTGCCAATTTCTCGGGTCAAGGAATATGTTATTTTAAGGTTTCTTTCGAGCTGTACCCATCACATCTGCCTTTAAAGACCGCCATTAAAAATATAATTAAAACACAACAGCCTAATTGAATTGATGAGATTGAACTCGAAAGCTCTTGGCTTTCGAGTTCAATATCTCGGGTTGGGAGAAAATATTATTTTAACCCGTTGAAATCCATTCCCTTAATTTGGTCATACAAAAGTAGTCTCTAAACATTGGAAATAAGGTCTATAATGTAATGTAATATTAGTGGAGAGCGGTCACCGGTGACCGCTTGGGGATCTCGTTCGAAAATGTTTCAGTGAGTGATATTATACTTAGCACAGAATCTGGAAATGCATTCGGTTAGTGTAATGCTCGGAGAACCTAACGAGTTACCGGGGCTCCGGCTCGACGTGCAGGAGAAGGAACGGGGTGGTTTTTAGTCAGTAAGAGTCTGACACTACCTCCCGCCTCACTCAGGCGGGAGCAGACATTCGATGATTTTCCCTCTTAAAAAAAAGGGCTTACCCATTATTACCCCTTCACGGCAGTTTACTCATAATATAAGTGGTAAAAATTGAAATATTACTATGGTAAACTAAAAATCTTAACTTAAACGTCTTAAAAATCTTAACAACTACTTAAATGTTTATTTAACTACCATTAGCTACATCCGTGCGGATTTACCCGCTCTGCTCGGGTCCTATTCGTGATGTTTTATAGAATAGCTATTCACAGCCTTCCTCGACAAATGAATTATCCAACACTAAAATATTTATTTATTTATTATTTATGTATATAAAGACAGAGTACATAGGCCCCACATATTGTAACTGGAATTTCTACTGTGGGCCTGTGGCAGGAATAGAAATAACGACACCGAGTGAGACACATAGTGTGTTACACAAATAAGATAAAAATCAATTTAAAAAAAACAATAATACCAAAGAAACCAATAGAAATACCAATTATGAACAATAAAACAAATTAATATAATACAATTATAGAAAATAACCAATAAATAAATATACCTACATAATATATAAATATAAACAAACAAATCTATATTTCAGGAGGAAAGATAATAGATATTTTTTCAAGTTGGATTAGTAGTTCCTGAGATCAGGGCGTTCCAGGGCCGCGCTGACCCCCGGCAGCGCCTGTGTGCGGAATCGATGGAGCGCCTCTTTTTTACCGACTTCAAAAAAGCAGGAGGTGCTATGTTCGTCTGATTGATTTTTTTTGTTTGTTCGCACATTACTCCGCCATTTGTACACCGATTTCCAAAAATCTTATTTTGTTTAAAAGGGTATACTCTCGAAATGGTCCCATTTCCATGAGCTCAGAATCTGATGATGGGATCCTAGGGAAACCGAGAGGAACCGAGGAGAACTTTCGAAAATTTTAGGGGCGAGTAATGAGTCTATTATGTTTTTAAACACTACAATTTGATAACGGTCTGGAGTCGACCTGATGATGGAGCCGACAGACAATCGAGAGAACTCCTCAGCTGTTTTTATTAACTACCCTATGCTTGGGCTTGATTAATTTAGTACAAACACAAGGTAGTTAATATAAACCGCTGAGGAGTTCCCTCGACTGTCTGTCGGCTCCATTATCAGGTCAAATCCAGACCCTTATCAAATTGTAGTGTTTAAAAATCGTAATTGAAAAACAAAATAGACGCAGTACTCGCTCATAGAATTTTCAAAAGTTCCCCTTGGTTTCCCTTGGGTCCCATCATCAGATCCTGACCTCATGGAAATGGGACCATCTCGGGAGTATACCCTTTCAAACAAAACAAGAATTTTCGAAATCGGTTCACATATGGCGGAGTACTAAAAAAAAAAAACAATCAGCCGAACATACGTACCTCCTCCTTTTTTTAAAGTCAGTAAAAAGTTCAATGCGCACCTTACACACACTTTCAATCAAATGATTGTTCAATTGTTTTGTTTTAGCTTGACTCTCTCGTTCGTTAAAATCGGGGAATCCCTGTGACCCTACTCCTATAGCCTCGCACGCATCGCATCGGGTTGCGTTCACAAACTCACTCATACTTACTCATACAAAGTCGGCGCCTTTATGATTCAATATAACTAGTAGGTACCTACTTTATCTGTGGTTCAAAAGATCTGCCGCCGTTTTAACGTTGATCTTGTAACTCGTAAGTAATGTAAACTAAAACCCTAAGCGTAAAATGAAACCATAAACGTGATTAATAATAAACATAAATATTGAGAGACTTGTTTAATAAGCGTAATATAAGTTTTGTTGTATACAAGGCCTATGTTGCGCCTATTGTACCTACTTACTTATCGATACTCTACTACCAAAAATATAATAATTAAGGTAACAAAAATAATTCAAGTAGAGGTGGTGGCGCGACACGGCGCCCCTATTGTCTTGGCGCCTGTGTGCGCCGCACACTTCGCACACAGGGGCGGCGCGGCCCTGGGGCGTTCAAACAAACTCTTCAGCTTTGAGTACCTATAAGATAAGACGAGAGCTTTTGATTTGTGAAAGAAGCGCCATCTATCAATACAGCACGTAGGTAATAAAACTGACAGTCTATTTAATAATAACGCTATCTATCGGATTCGAAACGAACCAAGTGATTCATCAATGAAGTCAAAACAAAACCTCCTTACTTGCTAGTACCTAAAATAACCACTAGAGGCACTGCTGGTGAACATAATAATTGCATTACGGTTAACATTGTCTCTCTCTTTCGCACGTTTATTGCTGTTTAGTGTTAGAACGAGACGGATGAAATCGTGTCAATGGAACGTAACGTAAACACAAGTTGTCAGTTGTCGAGTTAAATTACACGGTGGCGGGCTAGACCGAATATTAATCTAAGTTTATTTTTGTTACATCGTGTGTATTACTTTAATATTACTGAAACAGTAATTATGTAGATTTGTGTCAATTATTAAAGTGTTATTTAGTGTGTTGTTATGATACTTTTGACCGTTTTCTGTGATGTCAAGTTGTCGAAGTAACGGTATTGTTGTGCTGTGAACCACTGGTTTTGTATCAAATCGAACACACCTAGTGCTGAGCCCCGTTTTTGTGTACAAAAAGTACAGGATGCAACGCGTGTGATTTTTCGACTGACCTTATTTACGGTGAGAGTACTTTCGAGTTTTATTTCCAAAAAAACATACACTTACATAGGTATGTTACAAAGTTATTACAAAATCAACAGCCGTAATTATTACGACACCAATTTTTTCTTAGACAGACAGTACATTAATCAGCTTATTTTATTTTATTTTATTTACATTCCATATTTTAAAATTCAAATTTAGAAGTCTGTCCTTTGTGTTTTTTTTTCTTTCGATATTCAAATTAGGCACGTTCGTTGCTACCTTTTTATTTTCGACAAAAAAGTTTTTAAAATTTTACC